ACAAACCTCACAAATCCCCATATTAGTCTCTATTTTCATCCATTCCATTTCCAAACAACCAGCATGTGCAAAAATTGCACAGCTGAAAAAGAACACGACCTATTTAAATTTCCAAATCAATAGGCAAGGCATTCCAATTGTATAGTTTAAAAAGACATTGAATAAACAAGCTAAGAATGAAAAAGAAGTCATGTTATCATTCATTTAAAATCCTTATTAATCAGTCAAGCTAGTAAGAACTACATGTGAAAAGGAAAAAAAATACTCAAAACAGCTCTTGGTTCTGAGGTTAGAATAGTGAATTCGAAGAGAGAAAAGTATCGACAATAACCTCTAACATGAATTTAGAACAATAAACTTCAAAGTATAAAATAAGACCCAAAAACTTTCTACATTAAGTTTGAGATATCATAACCAAGAAGGCACAAAAGAGATTGCAGATTTGAAGTATATGAATAAACCCTTAAAAATATATAAAAGACATTTATACTTGAAGAAAAAGAAAGTTTAAGTTGTCAAAGCTTAAAACTCACTAAAGAAAAGCATAAATAAATTAAAAGAACAAAGTGAAGCTATTAGGAATCTGAAGATGGTTTTAAAGGGCTTTTTGAATAACCTTGACCAGATTATGAAGGGAAATAGAATATAATAATATAAAATCCAAATCGAATCCAAAGTTTCAAAAACTTTCGGGAGCAGATAAAGATTAGTACATTGGAAAAACATATTTGATAACCTTTGACATTTTTAAGTTAAAGACTCGAAACTTGAAAAAAAAATGTCCTCAAGGAAGTAGAAACTAATTTTAAAGAAAAACAAGGAAACCAAATGGATTGGAAATCATTTTTCAGTAAAAGGAATACAACATGAAATAGGAAAAGAGGAATTCATTACGGCCATCATTGAGATCCATGTCCAGCAAGAAACATCATGCCTTAGGCTGAGGCATAAAACCAAATATTTACTAGTGACAAATAGAATCCATTTGGGTTACACTTAATTTTTAAATTGAACTAAAAGGGATCATAATTTTCACAAAACTCTAAGAAAAGCTTAGGAGATACCTTACCACATCACATACATAAGACAACAACATGAATAAAGGAAACCATACACAACCATCATTTGACCCTTTTGTTGAATTTTTAACAAAAGTAGAGAATCTTTGGCCAAGTTATCAATATAAGATGTCCCACATCTTCCTTTAAACACACGAAAAATAAATAAAAATTCATGAAAATAATAGAGATTGACATTGCCTTCATTATCCAATATGAAGCACACAGAACTTATTTACATCAATTTCCTAAATTAGTTGAAAGCATCATATGAATCAACATTGACAGGCATGAATGGCACACCAACTTCATATTCATTTTTTATTTCATAAAAAAAGTATACAACTAAGCTACTCATATTACATAATTCAACAAATGATGCACAGTAACTTGGACTTTATAAATCATTTTAAGGTGTTAGAATTGTACCTATGGGACCCAGATTGGAAGACCCTAAATTGATCTAATGGCTTCCTCCATTCTTTATGTTTTGTTTATGTTTTTCTCAATTGTAGTTATTCTTCCTTTTTGTTCTCATTTTACCTCCTATCTCACCATTGTCTTAACAATCAATTCCCCTCTTTCTTTTTTTTTTAGTATCAAGCCCTAATTTTTCTGTCTCTTTTTTATGGTTGAAGGAGACTCAATAGAGTGCAGAGATCACGACCCTTGAGACTCTTCTTGAGCTAAATCATTTTCTCACTATAGTTATCTATCATTGTCCTTTCTTCTTTCTCTAATAGATTATCACAAGCAGAAAAAAAAACGTTAAATTTTCCTTTTCTCTTTTGGCTTTGATTAACTTATGCACCATCTTTCCCTCTTATGTCGTTCAACCTTCTTTTTCTTTGTAAACTCACAGATATCGCAGTCTAAGCTTAATGTCACTTATGTCTCACTCTTATATCCTTATTAATATTAATACAATATTCAATATAATAATTTTTTTCCATTGATATATTAATATAATATATATTTAATATAATTCATATATATATAAATATATAAAGAAAAAAAACATGTTGATTATACTAAAACTTTGGGGCAATAGTAGTTTTAGTTTATCATGGCTAGGAACACTATTTCTGATACAATGACCTCTATACGAACTGCTGATATGAATAGAAAGAGAACAATTCGAATAACATCTACTAGCATCACTGATATGCAATAGTATTGACGTGAGAGGGACCGAGAAGGATTATTTTGATTCTCAAAACCTCATATAATATTACAATCAGAAATTTTAATCACCTAGATAACCCTCCCTACTTGAACCACAACCAAAAAATTGATTGCAAACCAAGGTAACTGGAAAAAATTAAATAAATAGAAAAGACATCACGACTTACCCGATAAGTCAATTCTAACTCCATGACTCAATAAGGCGGTCTAAAGCTCCCTAGTTTGAAGAAACTTGAAGAACACTTCTCAAAATTAGCAAAAGCTAACTTGAAAATGAAATAGAAATTTTATTGGCTTCAATATTAAAAGTTTTAAGTTGTGTTTATAAGCCTAATGGTGAAGCCTTTATATAGATGTCAATTTTCTAATAAGACTAGAAGTAGGATTATATATTCCGACTTGAATACTTAAACTTAATTTGACTAGGATCTTTAATTAAAAATAATAACTTAATTAAATCTTAATCTATAAGCATGAATAAATTAATAAAATAAGACTAATTTACTTAAAGAATAATTCCCTTCCTTCTGGCCAAATCTTTATACCTTTTTATACTTTTTTGGACTTCAATTTTGAGTAGATTTTCTCCTTTAAATTCAACATATTAATCACATGTGGAAAAAGAAGATTGAAAAGAGTCCTTATCTGACTCAAAGCTTGTTGTGCACATGAGTCAAGTGTGCAAGGAAGTTTCTTCCAAACCGCGTGTGACTGATTTGTGTGTGCAATAGGGATAACTCGCACAAGCGCATTCCAACACAGTTTGTGCAAGTGGACACTCATATGCACATGCGGCAATGTTAACCCGCATAATGATGCTCCCTAGCGTATGACCAAGGTCTTTGCTCGCTCATTTTTAGCATGGCCAGCATAGGTCATGTCTTTTCTTGGCTCCGAGGCCTTGATTCTTAATTTAACTTGGACCAAGGTTTAGTTCTCTCTCTTGGGTTGGGCTAACAATTGGCCCTTCCTCTTACCTTGCGTATCTTCAAACTCATTCTCTATAATAATCTAGTTAGGCAAGTAGTTAGGGATGTAGTTATTTTTCTTTTTGAACCATTTCAGTTTAGGAGACTTGGCGGCCTGTGCACGTCTATTGTGTCGTGTGTACAGGACCTCGTGCAACTGTAGACTCGCAAGTAATTATTCTACTGAAATCTTGACTTCCATGGGGTTCTTCCTTGATGTTGGATTACATCATTGGAACTAAACTTAGGCCATCTAGGATCACATCAAGTATTGAGGGAATCATTTGTAATGATAATCTTTTTATTATTAGGACATGAAATATAAGCATAAAAATATTTAAAAGTATTGATCATATGATCTGTGGCTCACGAGTCTATAATATAAAATTTTTTAAATGATTTATCTAAGACATTTAGTTCCTGTGAAGTAGAAGGCACACTTAAGACATTTAGTTCCTGTGAAGTAGAAGTCACACCTGAGTGTGCCAACAAATTAATATCTATTTATTTCTCCAAGCACTCAAGATGAATCCTTAATCTTTCAATCTCCATTCTAAATTTACAAAGATCTAAAATTGTCATGTTGGAATTTGCTCTTATAACTTGGGATATACTTTCCTACATCCTTTATAAATTGGATAATAATTAATTGTCAAAAATATTTACTAGAATGATATTACCTGGAACACGTGGACAACTGTTGTACATAGCTGGTTCATGCTTGTAGACAGCTATTGGAGACTAATAGCTTCAGGGAGCAGCAACTAGTTCTAAGATCAATTATGAAAGCCGATTGGTTGTGGAGGTGATCAGTCTTGTGGTGGTTGACTGCAAGAGGGTAGTGGCTAGTTATGAAGACGGACCTTTTTTAGACTTTTTTAGTTTGATAATGAAGGCCGAATAAGGTTTATAAAAGAGTTTGAAAATTTCTTAACCCAAAGTTATGTACCATATTAAGAACGATTTTGATTAGTGCATTTTATTGAATATTATAACCTTATATATGCAGATTTTCTAGAACAAAAAAATTAGATAGATAATTAATTACAATTAATTATATTTTTATATAATTATACCATAATTTGTTTTCTCTTTAATACTTTAACTTATTTTTTTAATATTCTAATTTACTTTCTTTTCTATGTCCTGATTTATTTACTCTTTAGTAGTTTGATTTATTTTCTTTTTAATATTTTGATTTACTTTCATCTTTAAAAGTAATATATATTAATATATTACTAAATATAATTTAATTTAATTGAAGAGATTACTGGAATTTTTTAAGAATAAACTGAAGGAAATCAAGAGGAGAGAACCAGGAGAGACAATGAGAGAAGATAGCAATGATAAATTAGAGTACATTTAATAGGGTACATTTGTCATTTTAATTGTTTAAGTCAAATTTTTTACTTTCAATTTCAAACCAAACTAATTTTTATGCTGAATAATATTTAAATAGCCTATTTATGTTTCGTAAAATTTATTTTAAGATTTGAACAATATAAGTGATTCTTTTTTTCTGTTTGAAAATACATTTTTTTTTTTTTTTTTTTGCATAATAAGGTAATTTTGATTCTCATCTTAATAATTTTTCATTTTTAATTTAAATAATAAACAAAGCAAATATTAGATTATCCGCGATTGGCTCTCGGAAAAGAAGTTGGTCAATGAGGGGAATTTGGTAGGAAGGGCAAATATGTAAATACGACAATTTTTCTTTTTCTAAATTCTGGGTTTTAAGTAATTAAGTTGAGTGGGTCGTTTTTACATAAATACATTTTCGATCTCTCTCTCTTTCTCTTTTCTCTTTCTTCTGTCTTTTCCACCGGTTCACCCATCTTCACTGGACTACGAGTGAAAGCTTTATCTCCACACAGTCTTCTTCTTCTTCTTCTTCTTCTCTCTCTCTCTCTCCGCTTCTCTGTGATTCCCACTTTTAACTCACTTGCTCTGTCTATAGTTTCCGCTTTCGCGAGGATCTCGCTCTAAACGGATTGTATAATTATTTCCTCTGGTACATACATTCTGCGATGTACTTTACTTCTTGCATGATAAGCTGATCCAAACACAGACACAATCCCATTATCTTCAATCACAAATTAGACATTCCTTACTTGTTTCTCACTGTTGTTTGCTTCTGCTCCCTTTATTTCACTCGTAATGTGCTTTGGTTATTTAACCTATTAGCCGCTGCTCCCTACTCTGATATATATATATATATATATTTTCTACTCTTCGATCCTCATTTACCTCAAGATTATTGAATAGTTTCGGCATTTGTATGAGGAGGTTTGTGCTGCATGAGTCTCTCCGCTTCTAGAGAACTATGTCAAAAATGCTGTTGTTGCTGGATACCCAACCCCAAAATTTAGGGGTTCTTGATTCAAAGCTTCCATTTAATCAGGTATTTAGTGCGCTTCATTGTGTCTTTCTTTAGACGGGAATTACACTGTTTTACTTCGGGAATTGAATATTTAGCGTTGTTGAGAAGATTCTTGACAATAATTTTTGCGTCAAAGGAGGTAATGCTGAAGAATCACGATTTAACTGAAATGCTCTAAATATTCCAAGCATTTCTGATTCTTTAGGAGCTTCTTTTGAAAGGATTCCAAAAGAGAAAAAGATAACCTCTGGCTATAAGATTGTAACGGTTGAAACATTCAAAGCTGCTTTTATACTATCTAGCAAGGGAGAGAGACCAAAAGAGAAAGGGAATATATTTTTATTTATACAGTACCCGTTACTCACAATTATGAGCAAGTCGACGTGACACCAATTATGTATTTGCGATTGTTTTTTTAGTGAGTTTGAAGCTTCTTTCCGTTTTTATTATTTTCGGATCTGGGAATTTAGTGGTATTGATTTCTCAAGGTTTTACTGGGTTTTGTTGAGAAGCCTTGTGCTGAAGGTTGAGAAATTCCAAAGCATCGATGGGGCTTCTTGGAAGTCTCGCGGTGCTTTCTCTGATATGCTTCTCATTGTTACCGGATTTCAAAGCACAGTCTGCTTCAAGAAGTCCTGCTAGGGCCCTAGATGCTCTTCTACAAGATTATGCTTTCAGGGCTTTTGTTCGTCCAAAGACAGGCATTCCATATGATGGGACAGTTCCATCAAATTTGACTGGGATCAAGGTTGCTGCAATCAGGCTTCGCAGTGGAAGCTTAAGAAAAAGAGGAGTTCCCATGTACAAGGAGTTTCGGATTCCTTCTGGAGTTATAGATAAGCCATATGTTGAAAGGCTTGTTTTGGTGTACCAAAACTTGGGTAATTGGACACAAAGGTACTACCCATTGGATGGCTATACTTATTTATCTTCAGTATTAGGCCTTCTTGCTTACAGTGCTTCAAATTTATCAGCTACAAATTTGCCAGAATTAGATATCATAGCTTCTGGTGATCCCATATCAATTGCATTTCCAGATGTGAAGTCAGTCCCAGATGGGTCTATTCCAAAGTGTGTTTGGTTTGATTTGGATGGTTCGGTCAATTTCAGCAATGTGTTGTCTGGTAATATGTGCGAGACAATGCAGCAGGGGCATTTTTCTATAGTTGTTGAATCAATTGCACCTGCTCCTGCACCAGCCTTTCCTGTGTCCCCTCCTGGTGTTCCTCCAAATGTGGCTCCACCACCACCTAGTGGAAAAAAGAAGAAACCTAATTCGAAAATTTGGATAATTGTTGGATCAGTTCTTGGGGGGCTGCTATTAGTAGCATTGTTGTCATTATTTATATTGTGGGTGCAGAAGTACAAGCAAAGGAAGAGAATGCGACAGATGGAGAAGGCTGCAGATGTGGGAGAAGCTCTGCACATGACTGCTGTTGGGAATACAAAGGCACCAGCAGCAATGGTGACTAGAACGCAACCAATTCTTGAGAATGAATATGTGCCTTGACTCCTACCTTGTTGTAAAAGCTTTCTTTCAATTCCGCATGCATTTTATTCTTATTCAAGCCCACGTATCATAAAATTCTTACAATAACACCTTTTTTCGGTGGTGTTTCATTGTTCGCCTCGCTCGTTTGCTCCTGATAGGTCCTTGGTTATAGTGTGCCTAAGATAGGATTTTTGTGTAAATCTGTTATTGTTCACAAACCGTCCATACCTTTATTATTCATCGTGGTGTGCTTCTAGCCAAAAGTGATTCCATATGTGATGAAATTAGTTGTCCCATTGACAAAGAATAAAACTTTTTTTCTTTTTTGATGATTTTGTTTTGGGTTATTTGTCTTCACTCTTTGAGATTGTTGCAAGATGAAGGTTGTCTATTGAGCATAGTTTTCAGGAATGAGAGTTTATATTAAATGCAATTCACCAGGGACCAGCTCCATTCTTGGGTTGAAGGTTTGCAGCTGGCTGTTGGAAGATATGGCATCTCTTTTGTTCAAATGCTAAGGTTTGCTGCTGCTAACTTCTCTATCACTCTTTCTAAATATATGTACATTGTGTTCTACCAACTGCTTGTGGATCTTGGTTCATATGAATTGTTATTACATGTGACATTTTCCTTATTCAAGCCAAAACATTTTCTTGATGTATGCAAAGTTTTTATTTATGAAGATGAAGAAGAGGATAATTGCTTCATGTTTTCCTGCCACCATGGTGTATTGTTTTGTTTTTAATTTGATATCATTTTATTTTTTCTGGAGAAATAATTTAGGTTAAATTTGATGGCAATTACCATATTTTGGGAGGAGGTTATTCCTCTTACCATATTTTGGGTGGTGTGGAATGAGAGAAACGTGAGAACTTTTGATTGGTTGATGATGCTGATGGTTTTGATATATTTGAAAATAGATGGTTTTAGACCCTCGCTTTTTTTATGAGTCATCTTATTTGTTTTACGGATGATTGATTGAATCTTATGAATAATTTGATTGACATATAATTTTTTTTATAAATGGGTGACAACTTCTTGGTGTCTACGGTAATTAAATGTAATACCCAAGCGATATATATGTCTATGTATATATTTATATATAATTGCAACATATACATAATGGGACCAAAGAAAAAGAAAAAAAAAAAGAGGAAGACCCAGCTGGTACCCAGCACAAAAGAAAAATAAAATGAAATATATATACACACACATAAATGAAAAAAAAAAAAAAGCAAAGAGAATAAAGAAAAAAAAAGAAGAATCTAGAGGTGCAGAAGAAGGAAACATGTAACCATAATATATATATATATATATATGTATATATATGTAATGTAAAAGCAGAAAAAAAAAAGGAAAGAGATGAGAGCGCAAGGAGAGAGAAACACGACTGTTGTGAGAGGAGAGGAAGGGTCAACCGGCGTCGATGACTAAGAGAGAAGAGTCGCACAGTGTTGCGTAACGCCGCAGCTAAAAGAAAAAGAAAGAGGAAGAGAACTGTGCAGGTTGTGCCATGCGGTGACGCGCGACTAGAAGAAGAAGAAGAGAGAGAAGAATTATGGTCGAGTAGAGAGAGAGAGAGAGAGAGAGAGAAGAAGAAGAAGAAGAAGAATAAGAAAGGAAAAAGGAAGAAGAAGAAGAAAGGAAGAAAGAAGAAGGGGAAGAAGAAAGAGAAGAGAGCGCGACGAACTTGCCGGAGAAGAAATTGTGTGTGTCGATGTGATGGCCATGGCGCGGCGGAAGAGAGAGGAAATAGCAGCGGGGAAGAAGAAAGAGAAGAGAGCACGACGGACTTACCGGAGAAGAAGTTATGTGTGTGCCGATGGGATGGCCATGGCGCGGTGGAAGAGAGAGGAAATAGCAGCGGGGAAGAAGAAAAAAGAAGGAAAAAAAAAAGAAAAGAAAAAAATAAAATAAAAGAAAAATAAAAGAGAGAAAAGGAAAAAAAAAAAAGAGAAAGAAAAGAAAAAAATGAAAAAGAAATAAAAAGAAAAGAAAAAAAAAAAGAAACACAGCAATCAGATCTGTTGTTGGTAAGTCGTACGTGGCAATGCACATTGATCCCCCCATAGGTGTATGGCATTCTCGGTGACACACGTAATAGCGCGGTTGACATTGGCGACTGGGATCGCATGTCTCAAGATAAAATCTATTCCTCATTTTTGTTATATAATTTTCAAAATTATTAGTAAATTAATGTGTATTTTCTATTATAAATGAGAAAAATTACTCAAATAGTATCCGAATTTTTGAGAGAATTGTAGATTAAGTCAAAAAGGATTCTCAAAACTTTTTCTATCATACTATAAGTAAGAATTATATGTATTTCGTACGAAAATATAAATTATATATTTATATAAATGTGTATATGTATAGTGCATTATGTGTTAATGTTTAAATATATATATAATATAAATTAATATAATTAGTATATCTAATTTGTATTTATGTGTATTTATATAGTGTATATATATCTACATTATTACGTATGTGTGTATATATATATAAAAATATTCGATAGATGATATATGAATTGATAAGAACAGAACTGATAAGAACAAATTTGTGAATATATATATATATATGGTTTGTTGTGTGTAATTGTGTATACGTATTTAAGTATGAACGTATGTGTATCTATTGGTAAATATTGTGTGTGTGTAAATATAAATATATATTCTGTGTGAGACATGTAGTAATAATACATGTCTATATTATAATATATGTGTGTATATTAATATGCATATACACATATAGCGTATTAAATGTATCATCAGTGTGTATACGTGTGAAAAATGGGTACATTGCACTTGCTGTGTGATCTGCTGCTGATGTATGGTGCATTGTACTTACTGTGTGATCTGGTACAGTTGCATAAGCAATCTGAGGATCTTGTGCTTGCTGTGCATTCTGGTACAGGATAATTCAGAAAGTAGTTTGAAAAATATATAGCTCTTGTGTACGTGATGATATCGTGTATTGTGTGATGTGTTTGTATTTAATTATGCATAAAAATTAAGATCTTAAATATGAAATAAGTGAATTAGAAATGAGAGAAATTTGGAAATAGTGTGGAGTGTAAGGACCCTAAATACCTACTCGTTTAGTCTAAATCAAGGAGGGGAGAGTGCATGCGTGACTGAAGTTCAGCGGGTATGGTGAACCTGCACATGGATAGTGTTTGAAATCTAGTCCAAACGTGGATAGGTATTTGTGAGCGGGTCACCTAGCAAACGTAACTGTTGTGGCCAATGTGAGATTGTATGTCCTATCCATGCGATGTGAGGATTCTTTTCGTCTCTCCTTAATGACGACATAAATGACGTCGCACGATAAAATCTTAGATGTAATATTCTAAGTGTATTATGATATTTTGAGTATAGACGTGATATTCAAGTAGAGAAATATTATGAATAAAGAATGTGAATAATAAAGAAAAAATGATTTCAGAAATAAGAATAGAACACAATGAAAAAGATAAAGAAAAGTTTTCGTTAATGTTTGTTGTGTAGTTTGATTGTGATGCTTTATTTGACATTTTTTTTATTATAAATATTATTATATTTTATTTATTAAGTGAATGTATGTTTGTAAGTCTCTGTTATAGAATTTTTTTTCTTAGTGAACTCGTAAAGCTCACCTCAATTCACCCTCATCTAGGTCAGAAAAAGTCTAAGATTAATAGAAGATGAGGAAGAAAACCTTATTAGTTTCAATTTTAGATTTGTAAATTAATTTAGATGTCTTAATTATTTATAAACAAATAATTATTCTATCACAAGGGATGTGTATTAAAGTATAGTTCTGCTACATATTTAATATTTATCTATTCTAGTAGTTAAAAATATTATGCTAATATCCGTACCCACCGACATTGGGCTTCAGGAAATTGTAGGTGGTATCATAGCGCACTTTCCTCATAACCAATCCTTGTGACATGAGTCATAAGAACTTTAGGAGGCCTAGGACCAACATAATTTAGAAGAATGACCCTTAAAAGATGTTTTGGATCTCATGTGAACTACTTGATTAATTGAGAATAGGAGAATGATATTCCACAAGCCTAACGTTAAGAACCATATAGGTTACTTGATGACAAACTTAGAACTCCACAAATTTGGGGTTTAACTTGAAGTTAACGAACAATGATATATAACCAACCATTGTTGTCGAAGTTTATAGGTGTTAAGGAAAACCATCAGGGCCTTAATCTTTTATTGACCTATTGACCTCATAGAGTAAAATGCTGTAACAAAGCTCTTAAGAAAAAGCATTCAATTTCCTTTAAGATAAGAAATTAATTCCTAAGGGGGGGAGAAATCTCCCAACCAAGAGAAAATTTTCCAGGAGCAAGAAACATTTTTCCATTGGGAACCAATGCCTCAACTAGGAGAAAATTTTCCATCTAGGTAGAAGTCCCCAAAGTGGCACCAGAATTCCCTCAAATAGGAGTTTTCAGAACTAGAAGAATCCCTTAGAATTAAGAAATTCCCTAGTGTGAGAAATTTCTCCATGTAGCAGGAAGATTCCTTAGTTCAAAAAAATTCTAACTAAAAGATTTCTTGAACAAGAACAATATTCCCTAAATAAGAGAAATCCTTTAAGTAGAAAGAAAATCCATCGATTTCTTGAACAAGAACAATATTCCCTAAATAAGAGAAATCCTTTAAGTAGAAAGAAAATCCATCGAGTGAGAAATTTTCCAATATGAAGAAATTCTCAAAATGAAAAAAAACCCCAAATAAATATACTCCGCCTAACAAATTCTAGGCTTGATAGGAGTCAAATGGCAATTTAAATTTTTATAAGAATTCTCCTTTCATCCCTCTAGGAACACAAATACCCTCATTGTTCCAAAATTCTTTTCCAACTTCGTTTAGAGACTCCAATAGTGGTTCTGAATCTTAGAAAAACAAATAATCAAATTCTTAAGAAATAAACCGCCATTCTAGGAATTAAAATCAGACAATGCCAAATTAGAATCCTCATTTTTAAAAGTTCTAGTACTTTTAGAAAAATTTCATAGG